AGAATTTCCAGGCAAGGGCCGGGGATTTAGCTCAGTGGTTCTGCCGCCTGCCCCGCAAGCGCAAGGACCCAAGTTAGATCCCCGGTACCAAAAAAAAAAAAAGAATTTCCAGGAGAAAGACATTAGTGTATCTAGTCTCCTAAATTCCAGGAAACTCTCCAAGTGGTCCCACAAAATGCTCCTTTCTCTGGCCTTTGGTGAAGGGCAGCCCCCTTCTCTTTCTCAGCCTTCCTGTGATGTCCTCACAATCCTTCAAAAATGCCTTTCAAAATCCTCTTCAAAAGCCTTTCCTTGGGCTAAGAATGTAGCTCAGTGGTAGAATGCTTGCATAGCATGTGTGAGGTCCTGGGTTTTATAGTCAGCACCACAAAAAAAACAAAACACAACAAAACACAAGTGCAAGGACCTGAGTTCGAGCCCTGGTACCAAAAAAAAAATACTGCAGTAAAAACACAACAAAACAAAAACTCTTGGACTGTATCTAAGGAAGCTACTGTCATTACTGAACAATAAAAAATTTTATAGAATTTTATTTCTAGATCCCAAAAAGAGGCAGAAAGAAAGATGGATGAATATCTTTATATGTAGAACCAGGTACAATATAAAACTTTTAAACAAAGTATAATGGGCATCTGACATCCACAAAGCAAAAAAGACCTAACTACATTTTTGGATTTTGTTTTTTGGCTTGTTTTGGTACTGGGCGTTGAACTCAGGATCCTGTGTACGCTGAGCCCATCCTCTACCACAAAGCTACACCCCCAGCCCAGTAACTACAATTTTTTTTCCAGTTGAGTCTAAAGTTTTTCCTGCTTTGCTTCCTGTGCAAAAGTTCTAGCCCCCTCCAGTAGCAAAAATCCTAGAGCATTACTTGTCTTTGGCTCACTCCACAACCATGTGAGACAGGGATCAATCTGTCTAGCATGCCTATCTGTCCCACAAGGACCCTGTCTCTCACTCACGTGTGCTTGCTTCTTAAGAAAAGAGACCCAGGGCTGGAGATTTAGCTCAGTGGTTCTGCTGCTTGCCTCAAAAGTGCAAGGTCCTGAGTTTGATCCCCGTTACCCACCCCCCAAAAAAAAGAAAAAAGAAAAGAAACCCAGTTAAAAAGACATGTGGCAAAGGTTATTCTTGGCCATTACCACCACATTTGGGTCTTGGAATCCAATGACTAAAGTACTATGGTGGTTTCAACATCTGAAGTACTTATAATTCATCTGTAGTAATAAATATATAAGCTATCCCTAGAAACCAGAGTTGTTCTACTAGACAGTTAAGTTGTCTCTTGGAAGAAGAAATTTGTCTCCCCAGACATGGCACCTCTTCTTTTCCAAGTGATTCTCTATTCAATGAAGGACTACAAGACAGGCTTGAACCTCACTTTTCTCATCTGGCTGTACCAACAAAATCACTTGTGTGGTCTGAGCAGTCACAACAACTGACAGGGTACAGAAGAGGCTTCATCATCAATGCCCTGCTGCACAAGCATTCCCACCTGCACTTGTACTATGAGGACACCCAGGGGCATACACTTCAATCATGCCAGCAGAGCAGGTTGTAAAACTTCACTCCACCCCACTACCCAAGACTCACCATGTATTAAAGCAATAAAGACATTACAGTGGACCCTCAAGTTATGACCAGCCTAACATACAAACAACTTGAGTTAATTAGGTTAATGGAAGATTCATCTGCTTCTTATTATCTATAGCATGTACACAGATAAACATCCAGATCTCAGCTGTATTGACTTACAGCCAACTTGACTTACAACCAGCCCTCGGGAACAGATAGAGTTCATAAGTTGTTGTAGTCAGGGTTTACAAGGAAATAGACTTAATACATGATATATAATTTATAGGATTATTTTATAATATTTACCAAAAAAGTTAAATGCAGAGGAGTGTAAGAGATCCATCGGCACCCTGGAGACCCAAAGAATCCAGCCAAGATCCTGGGTCCCACCACAAGGTCCCGCACAAGTCCTTCTAAGCTGAAGGCCTAGAGCCCAAGGCAATGTCCTCCATGAGTCCAGCCAGAGGCCTAGAGCCCATGGCAATGCCTCCTGCTTGTCCATGGGAAGGCCCAAAGGCCAGTGGTAGAAGCCTGCACCGTGGGGTGAGGGATCTGTGCCACCAGGCTGAGGGATCTACACTGGAGCCAGGAAGTGACGCTCACAGCGAAGATCAAAGCTCCCCTGACGAGAACAGCAGCCATTCTCAATGACAAGAACCTGAGACCCTCCTCCAAGAACAAGAGCAGCCAAGTTCACATCAGGAAAACCAGCCGCAGAAGGCTTTTCCAAAGAAATCAACAACAAATGATCTTCCCCTCCAGGTCTCTCTCTCTCTTTTTTTTTTTTGGTACCAGGGATCGAACTCCAGACCTTGCCCTTGCAAGGCAGGCGGTGGAACCACTGAACTAAATCCTCAGCCCTCCAGGTCTCTTTTTATGCCACTGGCAACAATCCTCAGGTGGGTCTTCCATGCCCAGAACCACACTAATTCAGTTCAGCTGGGCGTTACAAGTTGCCCATTAGTTAATTCACCACATAAGTGAAGGGTCCACTGTACCTGTGTTGCCTGTGTTAGATCAAAGGACTATCTTGGGAGGCTCAAAGTCTTCCATATAGCAAATCCTACATATTCTCTCATCTTCACCACTGATGTTGCCCAATTGGTGCACTTACCTCTCTTACCACAATGGACTTCCTCCAGAATATAGCTCAACATGCCCACTCATCTGCCCATTTCAAGCTTTAGTCTTTATTCTTTCTGAAAATTTTCAAATATATAGCCATCCAGATCAGGAGGCCCAATTTGTTTTCTCCTTCTAGAGGGTAGTCTTTTTTTTTTTTTTGGTACCAGGGATCGAACTCAGGACCTTGCGCCTGCGAGGCGGCAGAACCACTGAGCTAAATCCCCGGCCTCTAGAGGGTACTCTTAAAGCAATGATTCTCAACTTTAGTTGGAAAATGAAGAGCTTGAAAGAAATGTCTAGGCTACACTCCCAGATTCTGATTTAACTGGGGTGAAGTCTGGGCATTAGGATTGTAAAGCTCCCCAGGTTGAGGGAGGGAAATGAGAGAAAGGGGATAAAAAAGAGAATTAAGATGTGTTATGTACATGTACCAGTTTCCCACAAGGAATGTGATCATTATGTACTACAAGCATGTAAAAAAAAACAAAAACAAAACAAAAACCTCCTCGGGTGATTCTAATGTGCAGACAAGGCATTCTAAAACCAGATGGATATATGCTCCACAGAGAATCCACAATTCAGTAGGTAGCATGCACAAATGACAGGCGGCTCAGGGAAGAAAGTCATTTACTGGGCATATACTACAGAGCAGGTTCTATATACCCATGTCGCCTTTCTAACGGTACCCCATTTTGCCTTTATAATGATATGTAAAATAACATTTTATAAATAGGGAAGCCAAGGCTCTGAGAAGTCATACAGTGACTAGCTTACATAAAAGTCAAACTCCAGGTCTGGCTCTCAATTCTGAATTTCTATGACCTCATACTTTAGTATCATGCCTCTTACAGATAGATGATCCCACTTCCTAAAACAAGGCATCCAGAAATCCTACTCTAATGCATCCATGGGTTTTTCTTGCAGCATTTTCCTATGAATTCCACACACACAGTCCAGCTACCAAGGCATAGTTTAGGTTGCCAAATTAAAGGGAAGCATTCAAGAGAAAACTTCTTGGTAGAGGACTACCATTCCTGGCTTTCTTTTTTTATTTTGCTCTGAGGCAAGGTTTCATTATGCTGCCCAGACTGGTTCAAACTTCTGGGCTCAAGTGATCTTCCTGACTCAGAATCCTGAATAGCTGGGAATATAGGCACACACCACTATGCCTAGATTCTCTGTCTGGCTTTTACTAAACTACCTCCTTTCTAAATATTAATACCTAGATCTTTCTCTGTCCCTGCTAGTTTCAATCCTGTGGCTTTCCATATTTAGTTGTTCTTACAGATGAAGCCATCTTACTTTATCTATCAGGAATTCCTTTGTTGGGTCTAGTGAAATTATGTAGTCCATCAGCATTTCTCTGCCTTATACTCCAGGCAGTGCATAAAGGATCAAAACATAGATAGACTCAGGTGTGGTGGCACATGCTCATAGTCCCAGTTCCTCAGAAGTCTGAGGCAAAAGGACTGCTTGAGCTCAGGAGTTTGAGGCCCAGCCAAGGCAACATAAACAACACATCTCAAAATATATATACATAGATAGTCAACCCTCCATTTCCATGGATTCTACATCCTCAGATTCAACCAACAGTAGATTGAAAATATTCTTTTAAACTGCATCCATATTGAACACCTAGACTTTTTCGTCATTATTGCCTAAGCAATACAGTACAGAAACTTTTTTTTTTTTAGTACCAGGGATCGAACTCGGGACCTTGCACTTTCCAGGCAGGCGCCGGAACCACTGAGCTAAATCCCTGGCCCCAGAAACTTTTGACATACCATTTACATTTTTTTTTTTTTTTTTTTTGGTACCGGGGATTGAACTCAGGACCTTGCGCTTGCAAGGCAAAAGCTGAAACCACTAAGCTAAATCCCCGACCCCTACATTTTTTATTAGAAGTAATCTAGGGATGAGTTAAAGTTTATAGGAAGATGTACATAGGTTAAATGAAAATATTACTCCATGTTATGCAAGGATTTGAGCATCATGGATTTCATATTCCTGAGTGGTCCCAGAAATAGTTCCTTGGGATACTGAGGGGTAACTGTATACTGGCTAGGCTGCAGAGGACTGCTCCCAGTATCACAGGGGACTCTAATACCTACAGAACTGGGAGGCTCCGTGTATGTGCCAGTGACACATCTGAGTAATTTAGCCAAATGTCACTATTCATTTCACTAAGTCAGCATTTCATTCTGGCTTAATGATGGGGTCACTGAGAGGTGGTAAGGCTCAGGGGACCCTATTGGAATGTGTCCAGCAAAAAGAGGACACCTGGGGGGGTCGGGTGGTACCTTTAGATGTTGCAGAGCAAAATCCAGTGCTTGTGCAGCTGTTCCATGTATCCTGAGAGACAAAGAGGCCACATTAGTCAGTCTTCAAAACACTTTCTAAATTCCTGACTCCTGTTTGTTGCCTCAACTGTTCTACCTAGTCCCAACTTTGGCCCTTGCTAAGCACTTCTGGCTTTTCAAACCTTGGTTTCACTCACTTAGGGACATTCCAATTTCCACTTTACGCATCATGGACTAAATGTGGGACGGCTCTGCCTTCCTGTTTATAAACAGGCTTAGGTATTTTAAGAGAAACTTCCTGTGATATCAAAAGTTCTTTCTAGCCTCACCTCTCAGGTATGCTCTATAGCTACTGTTTTCATTTACCTGTCAGTGAATGTTCCCACCTTCTGACTGTAAGCATTACCTTAGTTCATCACATCCTCTCAAGGTCTTCGGGAAGAAAAAAAAAATCCTATCACCCCTCAGCTTTATTCCCTTATGCTGTCCCAGAGTTATCTTTTCAAACACTTAAAACTCTCTTATTTTTAAAGCGGGTTCTCCCAACTTCTGCTCCTTTGCCACTTAATTCGCTGAAATTTCTCAGAGTTCATAGTCAATATACAAATAATCGGAGTTTTAAGTGAAAATCTCGAAGAAAGTGGTGTTGTGTACTTGAATCCAGAGTATCGACGTGACGAACTTCTTAACCCAAACTTGGTTGCCTATTATCGTCAGGCAGAAAGCTTCGAAATGTTTGCGCGCTAAAAACCACACGCATGCGCACACGGCAGGGGATGGAGTCCCGCTTCCCCGCCGGCAGATCTCGCGATGTCTGGAGGAGGCCTGCTCGCAGACGAGTTTCTGTGGCGCTGCGAAGCCCACCCCACCCTGATCCCCCATTTTTTTGTAACCCCACTGCGTGAGTGCAGCTCTCGGAAGGGAAAACCAGGATTCCGCAGCGGAACAAATTAGGCTGCTGTAACTTGCTGGGAGGCTAGCGGCAGTTCTCTGGGGCCGAGAAATTCTGTGGAGAACTTTCTGAGGCTGAGACTGCAAAACTAGTTCTTCAGTCACAAAAACAAAAAGTACAGAAAGTCCAGTCGTTCATCACCTTAGGACAGAATGTTTTAGTTTGCTTTTTTTTTTTTTTGCAATACGAAAGGACTCGTTGGCTGCTGACCCGCATAGCTTTCCGCGGCCTCGGCGCCTGCGCCGCTGCGTGTTTACCGAGCCCGCGCCGCGCTGTCCGGCTTCCCGCCGCCCGGGGCGCCTCCCTCGGCTGCCCCGACCTGGACCTCCTGAAAATCGCCTTTGCACCCAGGGACACGGATCGGAGGCTTCAGATAGGACACTTTCAGTGCAAACTTGAGACAAGAGAAAAGAAACGGTACCAAAAAGTATACACTCAGAAATCAGCTGTGACGGAAGATGTTTAAAATGACCCAACAAAGATGACAGCCTTCCAAGCCATTTCTGAGGAGTAAGCGGCAGCCGCAAACCGAACGTATAGGCAACATTTAGGACCTATTTTAAAAAATGTAGACTCTGCCATGTAAAAATGCAAATGAGCCTAAAGCTAAGGCCAGCTTATTCAAGCAAACCTCGAACAAGTCCTGCATGATTAAGACTGACTTTTGAGGCAAAATCAAAAAGGCAGCCATGCAAATTTCAAAACTAAAAAGAGATGACTCTAGAAGCGTTAGCCAGAAAAAGCACACACCATCAAGCCAGTGTTTTAAATGGCTTGAAGTTCCCATCAAAATCAGTTTCAGATGGCTTAGAAGCCAATGATGTTTATGAGATCTTATGAAACTTGGGTGTTTTAGATATGACTAGATCTATCTGAAAACAAAAAGAGGAAGGCAAGCTGATTTTTAAAGTAGCAATATGAAAGGATTTCCAAGGATACATTTTAGCATGCCCCAAAAAACATTCGGTGGTATAAACCTAGATCTTTATCTTAGCGTCGGATAAAAACATAAATGTTAAATTGGGCGATTTTATCGGGCTCTTGTCATGTTTTTGAATGGTGAACTTGTAGACTAATTTGTAACAAGAAATTTCCTCCAAGGAAAGTGAGATTTTTCAGTAGCATGAAATTAAGTAGAGAAAATGTATGTGTAAGCAGATGGGACCAAATTTTAAAGGTTCTTTATGCTTGCAGCATCCACCACAGAGAAGCCATCACTTAAAAGAGCTAGCTAGCCTCTGGATTTTTGTTTGTGTTTTTTGGTCTTTTGTTTTCTGAGACAAGGTCTTGCCTGTGCGGTGGCCTTGAATTTACTATCCAGCCCAGGTTGGCCTCTAACCTGCCCCAGTCCTCCTGCCTCAGCCTCCAGAGTGCCAGGATTACAGGCCTGCACTACACACCAAGCCTGGATTTTCTTATTATGGTCAATCTGAGTAAAATTTAGCAAATTTAGTAATTTGAATAATTACCTAATAACAAAAATTTGTATCAAAGTGAGAAATAACCTTAAAATTCTGTTCATTATCTAGAGAAATGCTGACTTGATTGACATAAATTGACTGAATCATTTCAGACTCTTAGTTCATTTATATGTGATAAAAATTGCAGGATAACACTGGTAAGTGACAAAATAAAACATCTTTCTTGTTGGGCACATGCCTCTAATCCCAGCTATGTGGGAGGCTGAGGCACAAAGATCCCAAGTTTGAGGCCAGCCTGGGCAACTTAATGAGACCCTGTATAAAAATTTAAAAAACAAAACAACAACAACAACAAAAAACCCTGGGAGTGTAGCTCTGTACAAGGTTTGGGTTCAATCCTTAATACCACACACACATACAAAGCTAATAGTGGATTAGTTACCCATTTAGTCTACTGTATGAATCAGGAAATACACTTACCAAAATTTCCACAATCAGTAGCTGTAAACATTGATCATGCTATTTCCTTAGCCAACATTCTTTGCTTATTCCCCTGTGATTACTGTAACATTATAAAGCAGAGAGAGAGAAAAAAAAAACTGCTCCTATTTGTAACTATGTATTTAGGTGAATCTGGGTTCTTGAATTATTGTGACCCTACAGCAAATAAGAAAAATTGCTGAACAATGAACCTGATATGTATTCCTAATTATCCAAGCTTGGTTGAATCAACGCAATATAACCTCACTTTTTTAAAATTTATTTTATTTATTTTATTTATTTTTTTGGAACTGGGGATTGAACTCAGGTCCTTTCAAAACCACTGAGCTAAATCCCCGACCCTAACCTCACTTATTAACTGAGTAATAGAATGTTTTTTTCAAAATAGATAAGGCACTTTAAAAAATTTTTTATGCAGATTAGGGCTAACTTGTAGTGTTTGTGTATGCACAGCTAATGATAAACAAGAAACTTCAAAGAAATTTTGCTATTCTAGCTCTATAGTCTCTTAAGTATTAGGGGTAATTTGGTACTCTTGTCACAACTAAAGAAAGAATCTTTGTGTCAGAGGAAAGAGAATCTTCCAAAGAAGGGAAATGGGAAAAAGAAGGGCAAACTTTGGTTGTGACTCTCCAAGCCAAGCCCATTGAGGACAGCTCTGCTAGGGAATTCTGCCCTTGCCTGATATGGATGATAGTAAAAGATATCTTTCTGTTCCGTTATCTTGAGCATATTAAAAAGTTTTTATCATAATACCAAGATGGGTACCATAGCTATTATGAGGACAAGAAATTTTCCCATGTGACTTAACATATTTCACTTTACATCTCTCTACCTAGACTGTATCATATGACAACCCTTAGCTGTAGAGGATGGAGAAAATTAGAAAGTATGTCTGGGAAAAACAAGTACATTCTTTAAAATGATGCAATAAAAATAATAGAAAGCAAGACCACCCGAACTTTACTTAAGGATCATAAAAATTACTAAGTTAATGAAAATCATGAACATAATTAAATCTCCTTTGGCATTTGCACTCAATACCACTGTCCTCTTTTAAGGTTGTGCTGTCCAGTGTGATGTTGACTGACCCTGTGTGGCTATTGAGCACTTAAATGTGCTACTCCAATTAAGATGTTGTAATTGTAAAACATAAACTAGACGTCAAGAAAGGAGTATGAAAAAGAAATGTAAATGCGTTGATAATTTTTATGTTGGTTACATGTTAAAATGGCATTTCATCTGTTTCTTTTTACTTTTACTTTTCAAAAAATGTGGCTACTAGGAAACCTAAATTTCACATGCATCCATATTTCTATGGGACAGTGTTGCTTTAGAACATTTAATCCTGGGGCATGTGCTTCTGGCTTGGACATGTATCAAGGGCATTTGGTCCAATTAAAAACAGTTTCATGAAAATTTAAAATCAGATCCAGGATTTTACTTTCTTTATCAGTCACTCTCCCCTCCCCCAGGAGAAAATGGTTTCACACCTTCATTTACACTTTGCAGCTTTACCACATAACTGAATGTTGTGAAAAAGTGTAAAGGATTTTTTTTTTCTGGTACTGAGGACTGAAGTCAAGGTCTTCACACTGAGCTATACATCCTCAACCCTTTTTAAATTTTTTATTTTGAGACAAGTTCTCACTTAGTAGCTAAACTGCCCAAGCCGGGCTTCTGTTTGCAAATCCTTCTGCCTTAGCCTTCCAGAGTGCTGGGATTACAAGCCTGCACCACCATTCCTAGTCGTGGAAAGTTTTGTTGTTATGGTTGTTTTGTCACTGGGGATTAAACCCAGGACCTTGTGTGCCTACTCTACCATTGAGCTATACCCCCAACCCCATGAGTTGGTATTTGACTTATATCACCAATACTTTAAAAAAAAAAAAAAAGTACAACAGAACTTTCAGACTAGAATAGCATTAGAAAGTCAGGCTAACCATGTTAGAGTAGACACTGGTGGGTTTTAAACTTTTTATTTTAAGTGATTATGACTCCATGGTAAATGTAGATCTGTGATAGATCTCTATCTACAAATAAATAATGATGACTCATATTTTAAGACTGGTTTTCTAGATCTTTCTTCTCTCTTTATTTAATGCCTTCTCCTTTTCCTCCTTTATTTTAAAACCAGTTTTGTTGTTGTTGTTGTTGTTGTTGTTGTTGTTGTTGTTTTGCAGTATCAGGGATCAAACTCAGGACCTTTTGCTTGCAAGGCAGGCACGGCACCACTGAGCTAAATCCCTGGCCCCCTCCTTTATTTTAAACTTATGTTTTCTTTACTTCTACAAGATATGATCAAAAAATGTGATACATGTTTAAATTTTTTTAAAAATTACTACAGTAAAATATATTAGCCAGGTGTGGTGGCGCATACCTGTAATCCCAGCACTCAGGAGACTGAGGCAGGAAGATTGTTGAGTTTGAGGGCAGGCTGGGCTCATAGTGAGTTGAAGGGCAGCCTGAACTTCACCGCAAAACCCTGTTTCAAAAACAAAATACAAAAACAAGGGCTGGGGATTTAGCTCAGTGGTTTTGCCACCTGCTGCGCAAGCACAAGGACCTGAGTTCGATCCCCGGTACAAAAAAAAAAAAAAAAGGCAAAACACATATTGCCATTAATCTTCCTCAAACTACACACACACACACATACACACACACACACGCGCGCGCTCAAACACACTTAGCCCATCATTCTTGCTCTTTTAGGGGGAGCTGAGACAGAGTCTCACTATGTTCAGGCTGGGCTTGAACTCACTGTGTAGTATAGAGTGACCTCAAACGTATGGAGATCCCTCTGCCTCAGCTTCCCAGGTGCTGGGATTACAGGCGTCTGCCACCATCCCTGCCTCATTCTTTCACTTTCTGAAGCAGTTCTGGAAGTCCTCTTTTAGGTCTTCAGTTGCACTCTCCTAGCTGCCTTGATGTCCTGAATTAATTCAAAACATTAACTTTTCATGGCATTTTGACTTTGGAAAAGAACCAGTAGTCACATTTTGCCTTACCCTGTGAATAAGGTGGATAGG